TTTTTTCCCTATTTTCTTCGATTTCGCCCTTACCCCCCCAACCAAAAATTAGATTTTTTTCGTTTTTTTTTGCCTGATGGGGTGGGGCTGGGGTTGCGCCGCCACGTGGCGCTTCCCGTTTCCCAAACCCCCTTCCCCAGCGGCCGCCACGTGTCCGCGAAGACGCGCGTCCGCGCGAACGCGTTTGCAGGGTCGCGGACTCGGCCGCGACCGCGGACTTGGCTGCGCCTGTCCGCCGCTCGGCGGGGCTGATCATCTCCGTTTCTTTAGTTTCAGCGTCAGTCTCTGAACCAACCGAAGTCGGTTCCACAGTTAGCCCTGTTAGATTTGTCATTTCTTGCATTAGATTCGGCACGTCACTTATCGGTGCTTCCGCTTCTTGTTTAATCAAGGCGATGGTGGCTCCTGTCGTTAGTAATGATCGGGGTGGAAAAACAGAAACATCCAAATACTGTTCCGTTTGCTGATAACGCGTTCGTAAGGAAAGAGCTCCCTCGTACAAGGTGCGAGGGGGTTTCAGATCATTAGCCAGATCGAAAACTTGTAATATGGGTTCCCCGAGGAGGACTGAAGGACTGACCTGGGTTGTTAGAGGCGTGAATGCACTGCCTTCAGAATCCACGTGGAAGCTTCGAGCGGTGTCGGGGCACACTCGAAATTCTTCGGGGGTTTCATGTTCGAAAAGTTCAACCAGATGCTTCCATTCCTCTTTACTGGGCATCTTTTCTTCGTATTCTCGTTCCCTGATTCCATCCCCGAGGCGCGAGAGGGAGCACTCCTCGGGATCAATGCCTCGGATCATCTCTATTTGGGGCGAGTTAGGAACCCGTTTTATCGTTCGGGTGGAAACCTGCAAAGGAACAGTCTGAGGCTTTCCCCCAGTTTGTGTGAGCACCAATTGTTTCGAATCGAAATGCAGACGTGCGCCCACCACCATTGTCCAAGGTAATCCCAACAACACAGAGTAGGAACGTACATCTATTACAAGTGCGTTAACAAGGACGTGTACTCGCCCGACCTTTACCGCCACGTTCTCGATAATGCCTACAATGTTCATTGCTTCCTCATTAGCAGAGACATAGTTGTCTTTGCCAGATTGAGGAAGAATGGATCCAAGTCGTCTCGTCTTTTTAACAGTCTCCAATGATATGGCCACTGCAGAAGACCCTGTGTCGATTAGGGCATTAAACAACTTACCCCAAACTTCACAGTCACATTCCACACTTTTCCATAATACTGGCCAAGCTCGTACAAAGTGATCCTTTTCTGCTAAAGAGATGGCGGCTATGCGTGCGGCTTCAGGTTCTTTAGTGTCCGGCTCAGGGGATACCACTTCCTCATCTTCTTCCTTCTTCTTCAACATCCGTTGTATGCGTTGATAGGTGAAACGCTTTTGATTTTTCTGGCAGTGTTGTAAAAGTTWATCGTTCGCCGCTTCAGATATGGTGAGCAGATGCCCTACGGGGATAGGAACGCGGATGTCTAACTGCTTGAGCGTTCTCAGTACATCAATGTCTCCTGTCCGAAACTGCGATCCTCGATTGGATTCGCGATCGACCCACTCGAGATCATCTGGGACCGATCGGATCGCTCCGATCATGCCTGCGAGATGAAGATACTCGAGAGGATCGACCACGTCAGCAACATCAGGGGAAGAAGTTCCCGATGTCGATGTTGTTGCCATCGAAGGGGAGGGCTTCTCTGTGGCATATGCCACGAGTTCTCTTCCTTGATCCGTATCCATCAGAGCGGTTACTCGTCCTTGATTAAGGGCAACGGGGGCCGCAGCAGAGGGAGGCTGATTACGTTTCGGCTGCGCACAGTCTCGGGCGAAATGCCCAGGCTGCTTGCAGTTAAAGCATTCGATCTTCCCTGCTGGCTTAGCTAGATGAGGGAACTGAGGCGCGAACCCTGAAGCAAGCGGGGCCGGTAAGAGTGGAAACGATGCAGGGGCAGGCCGAGCAGGAGCTGGGTTAGGCTTAATGAGCCTGCTCATTATCTGTTCCATCCGTTCCATATGAGCGGCCTGCATTTGGATCAAGTTGCTGATCCATTCGGACTGCTTGGTAGCAGCCGTATGGATCATCTGGGAAAGGCGTAGATTGGTTACGGCCAGCGAGGGGGGTTCAGATGAAGTTCCGCTTCTAACGACTGCGATCAATTGATTCATCAGGGGAGATGGAGGAGAAGCTGTCAGGATATCGGAAATGATCCCGCCAGGAAGATCATGGTCGGGGCGGGGATAAAACCATTCGACTGCTTGTAGCCATGATCGCCTTTTGGCCGTTACATCCCGTATGGTATCTGTAATGTCCTCGTCTCCCTGGTTGATATATTTTTTTGTATCAGCCAAGTCTAGCTTCAACGCTTTAGTAATGATAGTCGATAACTGGGTTGTTTTCGGCGGAACTTTTTTCTGCAGTTTCCCTTTCAAGGTCAGACTTCGAAGGTGATCAATAAACAAATCTCGAGCAGATTTCTCGCCTCGCCCGGATTTATCCAATGTGGTTTGAAATCGATCAACGAAATCGGGTAACAATTCTCCTGGTCCTTGGGGTCGATTTTTTAGTACGTACCAGGCGGCATCTTCGCTAACCGTGTCGAATCGAGCCAAGAATGCATGCTTAAAAGTCTCCCAATCTACCCATGTATGCTTTCTGAACCAGTCGTGCGATGTATTGCGGAGTAGTAAGGTCAGAACACGCTGAAGATCGGCTACGCTGTAGTTTTGAGCTTCAACAGCTTCCAGCCAAGCCTCGGGATGGGTATGGTTGGGGAAGAAAGGGAAGGGGGCAGGGATGCTAACGATCACCCTAGTACCATCCACCATTGGAATTGCTAGCGCAGTTGCACTAGACTGAGACCTGGTCACGGGGCGATGTCGGCGAGCTAGTGGAGGGTCTCTCCTACCACTCGCCAATTCGGCATACTATCATCAAACCGACACCGGTCGGCTTCGATACCAACCTCACGCCCTGTGCTGTCTTCCGTTCGGAGTGTTAGCTGTGAGGAAAAGAGGCTCAGAAAAACAGCAAGATGGGGTGTGCCAAGGATTTTTGAAAATTGAGTGTGGGGACACAGACGGAACTAAAATCCCCCGTGTTGGTCCGATGGAGAAAGTCGATCATTTTCGTGCGTCGCGAAATGCGCGCGCGGGCAAGGCGGGAAGAGAGGGAAACATCCAAATTCAATCAAAAAGTATTGTCGTGCCTCCTACAGCCCGTCGTATAGAACAGAAAGGCTTGGGCACGCTTGGCGTGTCTCGTTTTCGTATCAAGTCTCGTCGTTGTTCGCTGGTTAGTTCCGAGTCTTACGTGGAGGGTCTCAGTCGCGTGGCTCTTTCTTTATGCTCGTCTTCACTCCGCACACGGTAGTGGAAACCCTTGGACTTGTAGCGCTCAAAACGCTGACATTCTGTGCACAGAGTGCGCGGCCAGTCGGGTTTTACTGCCATCCACGGAATGACGATCAACTCGTTAAATGGCAACAATACCGAGTAAGGTGGGAAGTGCGTATCGATAATAACAAACCCGGCTTCTACGAACCCAGAACAGCGGTTGGCCAGAGGGAAGTAATACTGCCCGCCGATTTGTGCAAYGGCTTCTCGTACGTCCCACTCACATACACGTGTCMTTTCCTCACTGTAAGGAAAAGGTCGCGTTGGGATGRGAGATAYGRGAGRHTGGCKCCCAATCGAAGGGTACTTGTCAGTCCACATGTCAATCAATCACAAAATATCYTGAGACGTCATTAAGAACAAAAGAGATTCGCGCGTCCCCCGATCAATCTTTTTGACACAAGAGAGARAGAGAGCAAATACAGATCAGCTTGATCACGCATATGGCTACGGGTCCGATCARTTCAACACAACGTTGGTCCCTGGGTGCCTTGTTTCTCAGGGCCGCCTCGTGGCTCGGCTACTGATGTCGTGCAGCATAAGGCAGATGGCATGTGCAGTGCAAACAGAGCTACARATCTAAACACTCTTGCATTCTCGAACAAAATCCCGACGACAATCGTCTAATCAACAAAAGAGTCACACATTCCATACATGCATTCACTGTGGAAGGTGCGAAAATGAGACATGCACAGGAAAAAAATGGAYCGCATTACTCAGTACACACGCATCCACCGTTCACAAGACAAGAAGTCAGGGTCCTTGCATAGGAGGGTTACCCAGGAAACTAATGGAAGAGTTCCGGAAGAAGTTCTTTCACACAGAATGCCGACTCATTTCCATTCAAGAGCGGGACAATCATTCAGACACATCATCATTCGAGAGGAGAGAGAGAGAGAGAGGGAGAGAGAGAGAGAGAGAGTCAAAATAGAAGACGACAAGGTCCGAAAAGAGAAAAGTTCGGCGTCGCTGCCTTACACTCACGCCAAGGATAACAATCCGCAACAAAGGCGCATTCGTCGTTAATTCCACTATGACCCCGAGYCAATCACTCACTCAACTCCAATCATCGAACCTCATACCCACACCGACGATCCCGACCGTCGCGTGCTAACTCCCACCACTGCGATCRTCACCCCGCWGYSRTAAACTCGACACGGTTCGCCCGGATCCCACAGTCCGTCGTGGCGATCAAGCGCGCAACCGGCCAGCCTATCATCAGCCCGACAGGACTTTCCGACTCGCATCAATCCACTCTGCCTAGCCACTGCTTCCCGGAAGCTGGCTTAGGACTCGAGAACGTAAGAGAGATTTGCGGACGCGCTTGCGGGTCTTATAGTTGCGACAGGGGAGATAGAAGGGGGAGAAGGCGACAGGAAAGCTGAGGTGTAAGAGGAGAAGCAGGAGGAGAAGACTTTGAGAAGAGTGCTCTTTGAATGCCATGCTGATCCCTCGGAACTCAAGGTTCAACCAATCAGATTCGTCGCGCGATAGGAAGCTCCTATCGATCCACGCACCTGATTGGCGAGCGGGAGTTATCGGGGGATCGACCGGGCGTCGTACGCCAGACGTAAAGGGTGAGAAGAGAAAAGGCGCGAGAGGTGGCGCAAGACGGGTCCAAGATTCAGATGATCAAGAAAGGGAAATGGGCGCGCGAAAGCAAGGCGGGAGAGAGAGAGAGGGAGAAGGAAAAACAGTTACGGGGAGAGAGAAAAAGGAGGGAGAAGGGAAGGGAGGCGCAGGAGGGAGCGATGCGGGGGACAGAGAGGAGGAAGYTTTTGCATRCACGGCGCCGTCAACAAAAAAAAGAAAAAGGCACCGAAACAGTTACAGCTTGCTTCTATCCTAATTCAAAATTGAAATCACCATATCCGCGCGCGAAAAAGCAACGCGGGAAAAGAAAATCCTACGCCTATTCGTATTCACGCAAAATTCCGAGAGTTTTCCCCGACGCGCCCAAGAACATTCACACACCCAAAAAGGACGCGTCGAAGTTCCGCTTATCCCGGAATTCCCAACTATCGAGCTCAATTCCCAGTGCGCTCGGTAAGGCGCACGTAAATTCCCATGTATTTCCCGACTTTGCAAGTAGAAAAACAGAACTCAGCAGTCGAAAAAGCTCTCAAAAAGGAAAATGCGGCACCCGAAAGCAAGAACTCAAAACAGGGTTTTCCTGGGGTTGGTATGATACAAGCAAAAGAAAGGGTACGAAAGATGGCACGGGGTCGGGAAGTGGTTCGTCACACACCCGACTGATAGCATGGGGGGTTTCGCTGTCCCCCGCTACAGAAAGGTGACCACTTGCTGTTTTAGAGCCCTCAGTCCCGCCTTGTTGAGGGGCCGGAGAATGGACTTGTACCACAGTGAGGCCAATACCACGTTGTTAACCACTGGTTCGCGGCCAAAAATCGATGTATGCTTGTTGTTCCAGCTAGTCAGCTTCATGGAGCCTTCACCAGAGTCGTGGCCCTTAGCTACTCATTGTTGGTGTCTGGCTTACCAACTGACAGTGTGGTCATAGCCGTGCCCAAGACCCACGGGGGGGGTTCGAGTGGAAGCCATGTAGTGCAGGGCCTTTCAGGCGGTCTCCCCCCTTGGTGGTGCAGCCACCATCCCACCGTTTTCTGGCCCCAGTTCACCCCCATGTCCGACAGCCGACAAAAACGGTCTATCAGGGATTGACTGTCCTCCATGTTGCATGTGCTAGCCTCCGCCGTAATGGTCAGATCGTCGACAAAGAGGGAGCAGACCGGCACAACATCCTGGACCGGTGTTGTAGACGCCAATTACTAGGCACACATTGATCGCCTGGACCAGTCAGCCATGGTGTCCTGAGGGAACAAGGCTACCTCCCATCCCACCTCGCGTCAGTACTCCTAGCGCCCCTCCTATCTCTGCTATCCTACCTCAGTGTGACAGGCACCAGGCTGAGCCCCTAATTTGACCAACTAGCAACCCACGCCCTCTACTCGCCCACCACAGTCCTAGCTGATTTTAAGGTGGGGTACTTATCCTTGAAACACCTATCATCATCATCAGTTAATCCAGACCGACCAGTGACTCACGCCCTCTACTCGCCCACCACAGTACTAGTCCGCCGCACACAGTCTAGCTGATGTTAAGGCGGGGTACTTATCATCAAGACGCCTATCATCATCTGATTCATTAGTTAATCCAGACTGACCAGCAACTCCCACCCTCTACTCGCTCACCACAGTCCTAGCTGATTTTAAGGGCGGTACTTGTCATCACGACGCCTATCATCATTATCAGTTGATCATGACCTCCTCCCAGGCCTATGATTGTGTATGTGTGTGTGTGTACTCTGTATCGTAGGTATGTGCCCGTGGGCTATGTGTATGTTCATAATGTGTGTGTGGACCCGATTTCATGGCAGACGCTGCTCCCCACCGTGGAGCATCTGCGAAGTGATTACTGGTGAGAGATGCTCTCCTCACCTCCACTGGCGCCTTGATCTATGTGTGTATGGTATGTACTAGACTGTGTATCGTGCCGTAGATAATATCTGGGATAGTATCTCATGTGTGTGTGTGTGGTAGAGACAGGCCTATCTGGACAGGACCCCCCCAAAGTCTGGAACCGGACCCGAACCTGTGACCTGTACTATGAAACTGGAGGGTTCTACCACATGCACTAGTAGTGCAATTTCGTCAAAACGGACATATTTTATTTTTTGAACAAAATTGAAAACTAAAAAATTGGCCCGATTTAGGTCTATATTTTCAGCTCCTGAGGGTACGGCGTTCTGAAAACGCCCTACCCCCTGGATGCAAACTAAGTCCAGATACATCCAGGGGGGTACGGCGTTTTCAGAACGCCATACCCCCTGGACTCCAGCTAAGTCCAGATACATCCAAGGGGTCCGGCGTTTTAAGGACGCCGGACCCTCAAGAGCTTGAAATTTCCACCTAGATCTCTCTAATTTATGAGGTTTCAATTTCGTTCAAAAAATAAAATATGTCCGTTTTGATGTGTGAAATGTCTAGGCTGGGGTAGATCATCAGAGCGACCAAAGTCAACAACAGCAAGCAACCAAAGTGAAGTCTAGGCCAGCATACAACACCCATGGAGTGTCCGTAATAGTACCAGGCGTAAGCCCAGGGGAGTGTGCGAGTGGCCATGCGTTATGTAACTGATGCACGAGAAAGTGCAGTCGTTCAGGTGAAGGCGGCGGAAGGAGTCAAAGCCTGACTCAGAGAGGGAGGTGCACAACTCCTCCATCATCTGCCCATCCTCCTCTGCGGTATAAACAGAGGGTGCGTGCGGGCTCCAACGGTCCCGCCACCTGTCCAGGGCAGCATTGAAGTCCCCTGCGATCACCAGCGGGATTCCATCCGGCACCTTGGACCTCAAGTGCCCGAAGAAGTCTATTCTGTCCATTACCGTGTTCGAAGTGTAGATGCAGAGAATGCGGATTAACTCCAACTCCAGCATCCCCAGCACCGAAACCCACCTCCCTTGATGGTCATCTGCTGAGTCAGACCAATTAACCATTTGAAACCATATGGCCACTCCCGCTGTGCCCAGGCCCGGGGCGTCAGCCTGAAAGGCCATGTATGGCCAGGCCCTCCAATGCGCTCTGTGATGCTCCGACTTATCTTGGAGGTGTGTCTTCTATAGACACACTACATTTGGCCAAACTATTGACATTACGGGAGCACAGGTCTAAATCCGCCGTATGTACGCCAGATTCTTACAGTGTAGTGTGTCTATGACACTATGTCCGCCATCCCATTAGCGCAGTCCCGAGGTCACCGAATAGCGGTCGGGGAAGGGCTATAGCTACTGCCACGCCTTCACATCCTACCTGTCTGGATTCAGGATGTCCCTTCTGATGATTGTGCATAAGCATTTGCATACGTCCTCCGCCTTCCAGAAATTGCTGTCCTTTATCCTCATCCACTGCAGGTCCAACAATGCGTTGTGGGTGAACCACCGCAGGTTGAACTAGTCGCTGGCTGTTTGTTTGGCCGGCGCTTGTTTTTTTTGCCGATTGGAAACTCTGTTGCGACATCCACGTACTTGCCACCAGAGATGGGCTGCTGATTCAGGGCCTTGCAGCACCACTGGCCAAACACGAACATTATGAATGTACCTGCCAGTGGATGTTAGTCTGCATGCATTGAGTCCAGTTGATGTAGCTCAGTGGTTAGTGCACCGGTTGGAAATGTGCGTTGTGGTGTGAGGTTGTGGGTTCAAAACTCCGCAGCCTCGTGCATCATCGGCGCATGGACACCGGCAGGGTGTTAGAATGACGCACGGCTGGACATACAGTCCCCTGGGATGACGCATGGTACTATTACAGACACTGCCTGCGCACCACCCAGGGGTTCAGTCCATGGATGTTGTATGCTGGTCTAGACTTCACGTTGGTTGCTGGTTGTTGTTGGCTTTGGTTGCTCTGATAATCTCCCCCAGCCCAGAAATTACACACATTATGTCCACTTCCTACGGTAGTACATGTGGTAGAACCCTCCAGTTTCATACTGTAGGTCACAGGGTCGAGTCCGGTTCCGGACTTCGGGGGGGGTCCTGTCCAGATAGGCCTGTCTCTACCACATACACCCACACACATGAGATATCACCCCAGATAGCACAACCACGATACATAGTCTATCACATGCTATACACACATACTATACACACCGACTATACACACATATATACAGCTCAAGGTACACACACACACATGTACTAGTGAAGGTGATAAGAGCACCTCTCACCAGTACTCAGTACTCACCTCGCAGATGCTCCATGGTGGGGAGCAGCGTCTGCTATGAAATTGGGTCCACATACACAGCCCACAGGCACACATCCATGATATAGAATACATACACACATATACAACCATGGGGCTGGGTGGAGGTCATGATCAACTGATAATCATGATAGGCATCCGATGACAAGTATCCCCCTTAATATCAGCTAGGTCTGTGGTGGGTGAGTAGAGGGCGTGAGTCCCTGGTTGGTCAGGATCAACTAATGATGATGATAGGCGTTCGATGATAAGTGCCCCCCTTAATATCAGCTAGACTTTGTGTGGCAGACTAGGGCTGTGGTGGGCGACTAGAGGGCGTGAGTCGCTGGTTGGTCTCGACTAACTGAGATGATGATAGGCATTACGAGGATAAGTACCCCGCCTTAAAATCAGCTAGGACTTTGGTCGGTGAGTAGAGGGCGTGAGTTACCAGTTGGTCAACATAGGGGCTAGTAGGAGATTGCGTGGGCCTGGCGTCCAAAGTTCCTGTGCGAAGAAGCTCGTTCGATTCCGCTTCCACCAGGGCTGGGTCATGGCTAGCCCTGGTGCCAGTCACTACTGTTCGGTTTAAGTTCCCCTCGATACCAAGTAGGGGTAATGGTCCTGAGTGCTGGTCACACTGAGGTAGGATAGTAGAGATAGGGGGTGCGCTAGGAGTATTGACAGGAGGATGGGATGGGAAGCCAGGGAAGCTAGCCTCGCTCCCTCAGGACAAGTATGGTTGACTGCTCCAGGATATCAAATTGAATGTGTGTCTAGTAAACAGCCTCGACAACACCCTGGGCTCAAAAAAAA